AGCTTTCGTTTGCTCTCTGGTTGCAAAGACGTCAGGCAAAAAGTTAGTTGCTGCGTGGAAAGGGAGATGAATAGAATAGAATAGAATTCTTTATCAGCCAAGTGTGATTGGCCACACAAGGGATTTTTCTCCAGTGCACATACAAAGAACAAAGTGATGATGATGATGATAAAGTTGGAAGGGACCTTGGAGGTCATCTAGTCCAACCTCCTGCTCAGGCAGGAAACCCTATACCATTTTGGACAAATGGCTGTCCAGTTTCTTCTTAAAAACTTCCAGTGTTGGCGCATTCACTGCTTCTGGAGGCAGGTTATTCCACTGGTTAATTGTTCTAACTGTCAGGAAGTTTCTCCTTAGTTCTAGGTTGCTTCTCTCTTTGGTTAGTTTCCATCCGTTGCTTCTTGTCCTGCCTTCAGGTGCTTTGGAGAATAGCTTGACTCCCTCTTCTTTGTGGCAGCCCCTGAGATATTGGAACACTGCTATCATGTCACCCCTCGTCCTTCTCTTCGTTAAACTAGACATACCCAATTCCAGCAACTGTTCCTTATATGTTTTAGCCTCCAGTCCCCTAATCATCTTTGTTGCTCTTCTCTGTACTCTTTCTAGAGTCTCAACATCTTTTTTACATCGTGGTAACCAAAACTGGATGCAGTATTCCAAGTGTGGCCTTACCAAGGCATTGTAAAGTGGTATTAACACTTCACGTGATCTTGATCAAGTGATAAATCATGATCATAATCAGAAATACAATCATCATAATTCATAAGATACTACACTCGGTGATAGTCAGAGGACACTAAATCATGAGATACAAACAACAAAGTTATAATCATAAGAAGCTAAAGAAAAGATGATAAGTGTAATAGTAATACAGCCCTACTAGGTATTTTGACATCCCAGGGGCATAGGTCAGTGTTGTGGGAATTAGTTGTTTAGCAGAGTGATAGTATGGGGGGGGGGGGACTTTGTGTCTAGTTGTTTTGATGTGCAATGCCCTGTAGCATCATCTTGAGGGAAGAAATTGAAACAGTATATGATCAGGATGTGTGGGATCTGTTGATATTTTCATGGTCCTCTTTTTAACTTCTGCATTGTACCGGTCCTCAATGGAAGGCAGGCTGGTTGCAATTGTTTTTTCTACAGTCCTAACTATCCGTTGAAGTATGTTTGTCTTGTTTGATTGCTGTGCCAAACCAGACAGTTTTAGAAGTGCAAATGACAGACTCAATAATTCCTTTGTAGAACTGTATCGGCAGCAATGATAAAATAAATAATGTTATCATTGATAAAATAAATAATTTTATCAGCAATTTTGTAGACCTGTATCAGCAGCAATGATAAAATAAAATAATTTTATCATTGATAAAATGAATAATTTTATCAGTAATGATAATAAAACAATGATTGGATTAGATTACAGGTAGTCCTTGATTTATGAACAGTTGTTTAGCGACCATTTGATGTCACGATGAACCTCCCCTGAGGTAACTGTGGCCTGGTTCTGAGGGCCAGGCCTCTTGTGCGGTCATATGACTGCATGTCAGGATCTTGGCAACCAGTTCACATTTCTGACTGTTTGCAATGACTTATGATTGGACCTTACACTTACAACCATTATAGCATCCCTGTGGTCATGTCATCAAAATTTGGGTGCTTGGGAACCGGCATGTTTTTATGACAGTTGAAGGATCCCAGGATCTCCATTTGTGACCTTCCAAGCTGGTTGCCAATAAGCACAGTCAATGGGGAAGCCAGATTCTCTTAACTGTGTGATTCATTTAACAATCATGGCAATTCACTTAACAACCATGGGAATTCACTTAACTATGGCAAAAAGGTCATAAAATCAGACGTGGCTCACTTCACAGTCATCTCACTTAGCAACAGAAATTCCGATCCTAATTGTGGTTGTAAGTTAAGGATTACCTGTATTGTTGTGGATATCTCTGGACAGGTCCTTCTATTTTAAGCACACGCCACAATATTTTGGTAGTCTATTTGATTTTGGGTAGTTTATTTGATGATTGGAGCTGACACCAACATTCAGAAACTATTCCTTGAAGAATCAAGACCACAGGAAAAATCCCATAGAGGGACTATGGCCACTTATTTTGTTGATTTAGGAAGTTTTGCAGAGGAAAGCAGCCTAGACGAAGGCAATGGCAAGCCAGTGGTGGGATTCAGGCAGTTCGCACCAGTTCAATAGAACTAGTAGCTAATTTTTTGTTGCCCAGGTCCAGAATGGACTTCAGGAAGCAGCATCCACACAGAGAACCAGTTGTTCACATATTTGAATCCCACCACTGTGGCAAGCCTATGTTATTTCCAAGAAAACTATATGGATTCAATTATCATTAACTAGGCTTGGCATATTTACTACTTTAAGAACAGATAAATCAATCTATTTCCAATTTGTGTCAGCTTTACATAAGGTCAAACATAAAACTCTTCTTCATGGAGTTTTCAAAGATAGTATGAACATCTGTATTTACTCTCTAAATGTACATTTCCTCTCTAAAATTTGCATTTCCCCTAAAGTACTCTTTTTTAATCAATATTTGCCTAAAATATAGATGCTTGTGCACATTTTCTTCTAGAAAGAAGTGAAATGGAAAATGTGGAGGAATGTGAAATATGGATAACTATATTCTGATGTATGAATCCTGGGAATGCAGATTAAGCTGCTTTGCTTTAAAAAAGGAGGACACAGTCGACAACCCCATCTGAGACTTGTTTGCAGTTCAGAGCTCCTGAAACAACTGGCAGTGATGTAATTTTAATGTTCCAGAAGGGGATAATTGTTAAATGCACAGGGAACAATCCTTTCTACTGTATTCAATTAATTTTGCTAAGTTTTAATTAGGTTTTAATTTAAATTAGGTTTTAACTTTTCATTGGCTGGCCCACCCAAAATCCAAGGATAAACTTGGTTGAAAATAGGTTATGTAGCTTGTTTTAAAATAGGGTCTGAATCCATTTCTCCATGGTTCCATTTTAGGCACTGAAATCAAAATACCATAAAACAGAATACAGAATAGGATAGGATAGGATAGGATAGGATAGGATAGGATAGGATAGGATAGGATAGGACAGGACAGGACAGGACAGGACAGGACAGGACAGGACAGGACAGGACAGGACAGGACAGAATAGAATAGAATAGAATAGAATAGAATAGAATAGAATAGAATAGAATAGAAATAGAATAGAAATAGAATACAGAATAGAATAGAATAGAATAGGAATAGAATACAGAATAGAATAGAATAGAATAGAATAGAATAGAATAGAATAGAATAGAATAGAACATTGTTAGCCAAGTGTGATTGGACACACAAGGAATTTGTCTCAGGTGCATAAGCACTCAGTGTACAGACAAACAACAAAGTAATATAATCATAAAATACCAACAGGAGAAGGTAATAGGAAAGATGAGAAGGATAATAGTAAAGTTGAAAGAAAAATCTTCATCAGGGTCCACTCCAAACCGGGAATAAACAAAATGGAGACTGCTTTAGAAAGAAGGTTGTAGTTTATTGAAGAGCAGAGCCAGACAGAAATGAGGCTCTGGGAAAGCTGAATACATGTAGTAGGGAGTGGTGGGTTTTTATACTGTCTTGGGCTTTGGGGTTTGGAGTTCCTTTTCCTGTGGCTTTGAAACTGTGTCATGTACTTTGACCTGAGCTTCTGAGCATGTCCTTTCTGGTATTCTGATGGTGGTGGGTTAATCCTATTATGTCCCAAAGGTCGTACCCTGGGGCTGGGCTTGATGACTATGTCCTGTGTTGGATTTTTTGGGGTGAGGGGTTGTTGATTCTAGGGATCTTTGTCTTTCTAATCCCATCAGCTCCAAGCTTCCTGGCTCCAATCTTTCTGAAAGAATTAACAAATCTGCATTTCTACAGACCTGGTTTCTGCTTGGGGCAGAGAGACTTGGAGGGGGGGCAGGGTCTGCCTTTTAAGATTTTCCATTATTCCTTTGGGGAAATATATTATTCTGCCTTTTTAATATCCCCCAAAATATTTCTGTCTCTGGGGTGGGCTGACTTCCCACAGTAATATAGTCCTATTACGTGGGTAAATATCCTTAGGCATAAGGCAATACTGTGGTTATTAGGTATTCAGCAGACTGATGGCATGAGGGAAAAAAACTGTGTCTAGTTGTTTCGGCATGCAATGTCCTATAGCGGTGTCTCGAAGGGAAGAGTTGAAACAGTTTATGTTCAGGATGAGAGGGGTCTGTAGATATTTGTCAGCCCTCTTTCTGACCCTTGCAATATACAGGCCCTCAATGGAAGGCAGGCTGGTTGCAATTGTTTTTTTCTGCAGTCCTAGCTATCCACTGAAATCTGTACCTGTCCTGTTTGGCTACTGTACCAAACCAGACAGTTGTAGAAATACAAACGACAGACTCAATAATTCCCCTTTAGAACTGTATCAGCAGCAACCTGGGCAGTCTGAGCTTTCTGAGCTCATAGCTGCCAAAAGATCAAATGTCTTATCATCGCAAACTGTCTCAGTGTGAACTGTGGTGAAATTCAGAGAAAGTAGAAGGAAAATGAGTTACCGCAAGCTGAAGGCCCTCTGTTTTGTTTCTCTCCTACCCTATGTCTCATCCGGCATTTTTGAAGGATTATTATTTCTACAGACTGTGATAGAAACAGACTGTGGTAAATTACAGATTAAGGTTTCAGCTAAGAGGAATGGAATGGATTAGGAGAACAAATTGATAAACCGGAACTGAACAGATTTTGCTTTCTTATTGCAGATCTGAGGAACTGAGTCTTTGAAGTGTGACGGGCCACAATCAAGAAGATGCTTGTGGATGGTTGACTGGATGTTTTGGTCTTCTGGAAGCCTCCTCAGTGCCTCCTCAGGACTAATGGCGACAAACCTAGTGGTGATTGCAGAAAGAAGCTTATTTGAGACAGGAAAAGTTCTAAGATGAACCCATGGGAGGACTTAGCAAGAAGCCAAGGTGTGGCTTCAAAGCTGTTCTAAAGGTGTGAACGGCTCCGTTTCCCAGGAAGGGTATGGCCAAATCCTTTTTCAGACCACAAAAGTTTCTTCGGAGGACCCAGGTTCTGCTCTTTTTCCTCACAGCCGCCTATCTGATGGCAGGTAGCCTTCTCCTTCTACAGAGATCTCGCTTGGTTCTGCAGCAAGGTTCCCGAGGCTTCTCCAGGAATCAGGGCCTACCAGTTGCTGAGACTTTGCCAGGGGACACAAATGCAGAGAGCAGACCAGTGCAGGTGCCTCGCTTGACTTCTAAGCTTCTCGTGAACATGGATACAGTGTATGGGCCCAACCCGGACCAGAAAGATGGACCGCGGTGGTTGATTTCCAGAAACTCTGAATTGAGACAGTTACGGAGGCGCTGGTTTCTCCGATTTGTAAATGACCAAGAACCTGTTCTGGCTTCTGGAGCAAAAACACACCTGAAGCACACCTCCAAAAGCAAAGGTAAATCTGGTTTTGAAGTTTGCACTAGATTTTGCAGAAGTATTTCAGAAAGGAGACCTAGATACCTTGAAATATCTTCTGTGGGTGATATTATTATTATTCCCCACCTTTCTACTTATCAAAGAGCACCAGGCAATTTACAATAGCCTGAAAGAGAAAATATTAAAAAGCATCACCAAGAAATCAGCAAAGAGCTAAATCAATATTTAAATTAATATTTAATAGCTACTATGGTGACGGTGATGATGACACGAAACCCAAGATGAGCAAAGCATTTCATTTATACTGACATTTCCTTTGAGTGGCTCATAATTCACCATCTGTCAGTTTACCTTCACAATACCTCCATGAGGTAGGCAAGGTTAAATGATGGTTAGTAACTGGTCAACCTTACAAATAGGTAGACCAAGAAATTGATTCAACAAGATGATTGGAACTATATTTGATTGAGATAACCTATAAAAATAGCATTGTAGTAATTGATTCTTGCAAATTTGCACCTCCTATCCTTTGTACCATAGGGTAGCATCTCTCAACTGTGTCAACTTGAAGATGTGTAGCCTTAAACTCCCAGAATTCTCCAGCCACCTGGAGGCAGGTTGTTCCACTGGTTAATTGTTCTAACTGTCAGGAAGTTTCTCCTTAGTTCTAAGTTGCTTCTCTCCTTGATTAGTTTCCAAAGAGTGAGTTAGTTGCTTCTTATCCTGCCTTCAGGCACTTTGGAGAATAGCTGGAGAATAGCTTCTTCGTGGCAGAATAGTATTTATGAGGGTTGCAGTGTTCTTGGACCATGCAATCACCTCTTGTAACCTTCTAACAAAGGTCAATGGGGAAACCAGATTCACTTAACAACTGTGTTACTAACTGAACAACTGCAGTCATTCACTTAACAACTGTGGCAAGAAAGATCGTAAAATGGGGCAAAACTCACTTAACAACTGTCTTGCTTGGCAACAGAAATTTTGGGCTCAGTTTTGGTCCTCTATCAAGAACTACCTGTCATCTTAATTAAAAACACTAACATAAAGCAGGAGGAAGAGGCGAAACCAAATATTTTATCTACCTGGCAATGCAGCAGCAACCTGAGGAAGCCCAGATGGCTTCCGATCTGCAGCTGCAAAGGATAAAAAAAAAAAAAAACCACCCTTCCAAACGTGTGAAATGGAGCTCAGAGAGAAACTCCCACCTTCTTAGCAGCTTATTGTGGGTGTCTGTTCACAGCTTGTGAACTTCCTAATTGCATGTTTGCAAAGTGCCAACGTTCACCTCTTTAGAAGAAACATACCATTCACCTTGTCTCAACATTTTAATTCAAGAGTTCTAGCTTTTCCTCCTTCTTTGCTGATTTTTTTTTCTTCTTCTTCTTCTTCTTTCCTCCCCCCCCTCAAAGGGAGGTTGATATAGACTCTGTTGGCTATTTTTAGCAAAAAAAAAAAAAGCAGCTGAAGGTTGATTTATTTTGGATCCATCTGTGAAAAGTTTTCATTCAGAGACTGAACGTGAGTCTGGAAATAATGGAAAGAAAATGGAGAGAAAAAAAAGCACAGCCTCCATTTAAGTCTAAAAAGCTTGAGTACAGAAGTGTTCGCGGACATGGTGTATGTCAGAAAAAGTCAGGATGGTAGCTGCACTTATTCAGAATTGCCCACTTGAATTTCTTGATCCTGTTCCCTGTAAAGCTGTGCCCACCCCATTGCCGGCAATGCAAAAAAATAACAACAACAACAAAAATAACAGAGTTGGAAGGGACCTTGGAGGTCATCTAATCCAACCCCCTGCTCAGGT